ATATTTACCTTATACCTACCGTAACAATTATTAATATGTAACTATTTTATGAGATATTTTAAAATTATTTTACAAAAACAAAAATTTAATGAAATTTTTTAGAGCTTTTAAAATACCAGTTTAATAATAAATTGTTATTGACACTATACAAATGAAATTCGATGATTTTTTCTGATATCTCGTGCATAATATTATAAAAGCTTAATCAGATGCCATAAAAATAATAACATGAAGAAAATAAAACAAATACAATTTTTTTCTATAACATCGCTTAAAGTCAAAATAAAGACAATAATTATCGCTAGACTTAATTACCACCTGTAAATACCGTCGTACCGCAAATTATTTTTCTTTATTTTTTATTTTTCATTATTATTATTATGAGATATTTATCTAAGTAATTTTGTGTCTTGAATTTCAAGCGAACATTTAATATAGTTAGAATAATAGTGTGACGTTTATATATAAAGTATGAATACAAGTATGTAAATGGTATGATTAAATTTTTTAATGATTTGCAATCAAAATGTTTATTTTGTCTTGATTTATAGTGAAGTTAATTATATAATTTCAAAGTATTTCGAGGAAAAAACAAGCATCTATAAATTTTAATAAAAATACTCGTTCCAGTATAAAAACAAAAATGTATGATTTTGTTTAATGTTTGAAACATAAAATGGAAGGCACGCAACATGTATGAGTAAGGCACGAATTTGTTTGAGAGATTTGAGCTCTATGCCATTTAAATTTCAAAATTAGATGAGGAAATTTTATAAAGGGAATTTGGAATTTCAATATTAGAATATTAAATTTTAATGAAAAGTGGAATGAATTGATAAATGTGAGAGTTGAATTAACTTTTTCTTCATTAAGTGCTGATGTAAAGTTTATTATAATAAAGTTTATATGTAATGGAAACTCTTCCTTGAACAATTGCAATGCAATTGGCACAAACGATTGGTAATTATAATGTCTACGATTCTTTCTATATATCCAAGAAATAATTCTCCTGTAATCATTGCGATCATTTTTTCATAAAGCTTGTTGAGGCGCTTAATCAGCGATTGTGATTTTCAAAAAATCTATTTATCTTTATCTCTTATTATTAAAGATGCATATTCCAACAAATATTCACAATTTTAAAGATTTACAAATTACAAAATTATTTTGATAACGGCACTTGGTGTAATAAAATTTAATACCAAATTCAAGTACCAAGAGAAAAAGGTTTTTGATGTCAACAATGTTTTTTTTTTGTCTAAGATTTGTTCTTGAACTAAAAACATTTCTCTGAATTTCAATTAATTTTGCAATAATATTTTCGAAGAAAATAATTGAAAATGTAATTGAAAAATTGAAATAATGAAAGAAATTTACGCACCCTGTTTTAAAAATGTTAACTGTTAAAATAAATTACAACAAAATATAAAATTATTATTTCATTGTAAATATTGGTTGGTACGTCATTATTATAAGCAAATTTAAGACGCTCAGCACATTAGTGGCCTACTTGCGAAAATGACATTTCGAGTAAATTGTGATTGAAAAATCTAAATTATTTAGTTTTTAAAATTTTTAAAATAGAGCGAAAAGAGGAGTAAACTAAGTATTTTAAAAATATAGAACAATTCTTTAGGCTATTGCAGCTCTTTTGAACATAATAACTCGTTTTTGCAAACATGTTGAATAGGCCACTAATTATGGTGACATTTCGAATTATGGTAAATAATTTTTTGTATATATGTATAGACTTCGTATTTTCGTATTTTTGAACCTTTTAAATTAAAAACGAAATTATGTGTTTAGCCGAATTACAAATAAAATGTATGCAATAATATGAGTAGTAAAATAATATTTTGTAGAAGAAAATTAAAATTTAATTCAATACGGAATCAAAGCGGTAGTAATATTGTGGTCACATATACAAAATGTATGTGTGTATTTCGTTTGCCAGTATTGAGTAGTAAGTAATACGAGCGCAACCTAAATTATTTCAATATAAATTAAGAACCTGGTTTCCTTCACCTAAAATTAAAAAAAAAAAAAATTTCGCCAATGCTTTTTGAAAATTTTTAATGCAGATCATGAAAATATTATAGAAACATTGTTTCACATAAGAATTTTAAAAAATCGTTGATTTATTTTAATAAAAAAAATTATACATATTTTAATTTTAATTTATGTAAATCGAAAAAAATTATTATTAATTTTTAAAGTTTCCTATTTTTTGTCTCTTGTTGTTTTGTATTGAATTTTTTTATTTAAAAAGATTATTGATTTTTTGAATGAATCTAATTTAATATAGAATATCTAGTATTTCTTTATTTTTTAGTATTTCTTTTTATGAGAATTAGCAAGTAGATTTGAGTAAAAACTTGAAATGGAATTCTTAATTAAAATTTAGTCAAAATTATTTGAAATTTCTAAGAGAAACTTGAGAGCTCTTGCAGGTAAAGTAAATGTTAAAAAGTTATTTGAGAATATAAAATAGAATGTGTTCTGTTTAGAAAAATGAAAAAACTTTAAAAAAAATCTTGTAAACACAATCTCATCTCTGATTATTTTTGTTTTTGAGCACTTTAGGTTTATTTGTGAGCATGTTTATTCTAATTGATGCCCTCTTTATTTGTTAGTATGCACATATTTATTTGTGTATATATTTAAATTCATATAAAAGTAGAATAATTTCAGAGCTATAGAGTTGTAAACTTTAGTATTAAATTTAAATGAGTCAAAACTCAATTTTATGGATTTAAAACCATAAATGATGCAAAATTAAAAAAGAAGTAGAAAAAAAAGTTGTTTAACCTCCTCTTGTGCCATAACCATTTAGTAAGCAGGTTTTTGAATTTTATATAAAAATCGCTTGTACCGTGTACGTACAATACAAGTAATAATATGCAATACAAACATACAATATATGTATATATACAAATAAATTCGAATGTCTGGAAATTATTTACAAAATGTGGAGGTGTCTGGCTGCATTATAAAAATGAAACAAGAAAAATATGTTTTTAGATTTGTAAATTGCGATATAGCGTGATGAGAAACATTTATTTTTTTCTTTAATTTTGTCGTACTCTATATAGGGTATTTTCTAATAAAATCGAAGGCAGAATCAAGGAGATGAAGATTAAAGCATTCTTAAAAGAAATTTATCTCAAATCTTGCAAATTAATTTATGTGCAATTCTTAATTATTTGTATGCATTCTTATTATTGAACATTTTGAGGCTTTAAGTTATCTGGGTAAATTTTTTTATTTATATAAATAAAATTTATTTTTATATATATCTAGAGCGAAAAAATAGGGTTTAAATTAGCACAAATTTATTTTTTTTTAGTACACGTTTTATATGATGAATTTCTTTGGACAAAAAAATATAATAAGAATGAAAAGAAGGAACAACTGAATAAATTCTATAAATTCTTTTCATAACAAATTTAGATGATGTCAATACATACAACCATACATATTGAAAGATCCCTATATACAGTATTATTAAACAATTCTAAAAATATAATATTAAAAAAATTCAATATACCAAATATTTAGAAGAAAGATGTTAAGAAAAAAAGGGATCATTTCTTATAGGTTTTAAAGAGAAATAAAATAAAAAAAAAATTCTTCTATATCATTAGAAAGATAACGTGAATGAATTCCTTTGAACATTCTATCTATTTGTATAAAAATATAATATATATACCTAGATATATATATGGATATTTATTTAACACATTATTATTTTCTCCTAAATCATAGAACAAACATTCATAGAACAAACATGCATAAATTTAACTTTATCCTTTAAAATAAATTATGTATATATTACAAAAAAGTACCTTCTCTTATCATCCCTAAAAATACTATCTATATGTCTACGAAGCTTCTCCCTTATAGAAGATTTAGTGAGGCTGTATTCGATAACACATTATACTTGCATGTATTTCTATGTGGAACATAACCTTAATTGTAGTTTTACTACTGGCATAACAGGAGAACTTTTATTGTATTCATGAAAAAGTTATGAAGAAAAGTAAGAAAAAAAATCTATTACAAAAATTTCTACAATACAAAGGTACGTATATGTATAAGTATATTAACATGCACACCCTTGCATAAACACATTACAATATCAACAGAATAATTAAAAAAAAATAATAACAACAAAAGAAGTAAAAAAAAATCCAGCATCTGCGCTGGAGCATATGACGTCATAAAAAATGCACGTTAAAATATTTACGCTATAAATGTTTATATATATACATATATATAAATGAAAAGATAAAGATTTATTTGCCTATATATTAATATTGAAATTTAGCTTTCTGATATTTACATATTATGAGAATGTACCCATTAAATACATGTGTTGTAATATATGTATATGTTTTGAAATATCCTTAAAATAACCTTAAGTATAATGTAAAAATAAATGATATAGAATTTTATATTTACATATGTACATATATAATTTTAAGTTTTCTATTCAAATATAAAATAATTAATTGATCTGTGGCTTACTCCCTTAAAAAATTGTCAGACTAGAATACATTTTCCAAATTATAATTATTGAACACGACGAGAATTTTACTCATAATTTTATGTTGTATTTTCTCTAAATTTGTTTTACTCTTTGGGCTTGTTTATAGAGCGAAAGTAATAGAGCGAAATGAGGAGCATAATGTTCTACATGAGAAATAGTGTAAATTGATTGTTAAAATTAAATCCAAGTTTAACATAAATGTATACATTATATACATATACATATATCGCCCTTGAAATACAATCCACAATGTGGATCGTAATATTATTTTGTTTGATATTTTATTCTAAGGAAACATAAAAATAATAATAAGAAAAAAAAATAAAAAAATATTCCTTATAACCTTTCAAATATCCTTTATTCATTTTGTTCTGTTTTTTTTTTTTATTTTTTTGCTTTTCTGAAAGAAATAATACGAAAAATTTTTTAGGTAGACAGTTTAGTTGGTTCGCGAATTTATCACATGTATCACCTTTCGTCTAGAAACTATTGTGGTCTTTATAAAATTTAATTTTTTCTATTAAATTTTTAATAAGTTCTTATAAAAATTTAATAATAAAAATTTGGAATAAATTATTAATATTATAAAATTATTCATGTTATACTTAATATTTCTAAATTTTAATGTATAATAATAAAAAGCCTATAAAAATATTTCAAATAAAAAATCTGATGCAATTTCTAAACAAAATTCTGTATGAAAAATAAATTTTTTTTTTTTAAATTTAAAAATTTGTAGAGAAAAGGGGAAAAAATTCTTTTGAATAGAAAATTTTATTAATGTGCTTAAAAAATAATTAAGAAGAAAATTATTTGAAATTAAAACAAAAAAAAAATTATACAAAATTTCATTCAAAGTGAACCCGTTCTTTCCTTTTCTTATTCCTTAATTTTAAAATGAATTCAATGATATTCAGATACACAAAAAATATAATGTGAATGGAATTTAAAAGAATAAAATGAGTTTGGAATAAATTTTTACATAGAAATCTCATTCCATGTGGTATAAGTAAGTATGCTTTATAAAATTTTATATATATAAATGTATATAGGAATGTACTGTACACAGTTATTAAAAATGAAATCGCAATTGAAATTGCCAAATAATTCTAAAGTTAATTTAATTGGAAGAGTCTAAAATTAATTAATCTCATACAAGCTGATAATGAAATTTAAAAATTACTTTTATGTTACAGTATAATTTAGGCATATAAATTAAAATTTGTTAATAATTAAAAATAATTTTAATAATTTATGATATTTAAGGTAATTTAATAATGTAATTTTACTTTTTAATTTTGACAACTCTGAAATTAGTAGGTAAATGCCGCGCACAAACGAATATTAGATGGGAATTTTATGACTTGATTTAAGAGGAAAATTAATAAATAATTCGTCAATATTTGACATGAAAGTTTTGAACAACATTTCAGCGGGTTTATGACAATATATGCGGTGTATATTTAAAAAAAAAATGTTGACATCTTTGAAAATTTTGAATAAGAAATATTTTATTAATCGGACAAACAATTTTTTTTGCCTTTCTTGCTATCTTTGTTCTTTGATAACTCGATAATTTGAAAATAAAACGTATTCCTTCAAAATGGGGATAAGTCTGATTAAATATGACTTATAAAGTAAAATTTTGATAATTTAGTAAATTAATACCATTTTATTAGCAGCATGAAAAATAAAAAACTCCATCTAAGTTTTGAAAAGTAAAAAATTTTTGTTATATAGTGTATAGATCACACATTACTACATAGTGTGGCGTACTCTTTCAAAAATCAGAAAAGAAGAGAAATTTTTAGGAATTATAAGTTTAATCCGGCGGAATTACGTTTAGTAGAACCATCTCCTGTTAAATTTTTTTTATAGCTCGTAAAATACAAATTAAAATTTACAATTGCATAAAATGATTCCCGCTAATAATATTTTAATAGTTTTCTATTTTGTATAAATTAAATTCGAATACTTGCTTTGTCACTTCATTTCCATATGGTCTAATATATTGTCGGCATATTAAAATATAATTACGTGATATTCTTTTTAAAATTATTTTAAAATTATGTACATTTTTTTATTTTCAGCACTAAATAATTATAAAATTAAATAGAAAACTATACCTATACATTTTCTTATGAATTAAATTAAATTATTATTCTGTAATATATAAGAATAAAATTTTTAAATGAATGACTGTAAAAATTAAAAATTTTAATAAATGTGCAGTATTAAAAGTTCTATTATAATTTTTCTTACTAAAAAGCTTTATTTAGTATAGGAAATAAATTGTACTTACTTGAAATTATGTAAAGAGCAGCTTAGCGGGACAAGTTTAAATTTAGCCTTACATATTTCTAAAATTTTAATTACATATTTCTAAAATACTTTCTAAGAGAGAATCTAAAAATTTTCAAGTTAACAGCATTAAAGAGTAACACGAAAATAAAAAGGGAAAATTAATTTTCAGAAATCGATTTTTGTATTAAATTTAAAATTCAATTATCCCTTTATAATTTTATAATTTTTTTCTAGTAAAATATGTTAATTTTCTTTTTCATTTTTGGGTGTTACACAGCACCTTATAATTTTTTAATAAATTTAATATTCAGCAATGAACTGCTTAAAAATTTAATTTTAGAATTTGAGTATATTTTAGAAATATAAATAATAATAATAATAATTATAATGATGATGAAAAAAAAAAGTAATAAAAAGAATTGGTTTAAGCACTTCTCAATAATTCTATTATAAAATATAAGGACATGTTTTTGACATTAGCAATCAATTTTTTTTCTTCTTATTCTTCATTTTTTCTAGAATACTTCTCTTGTTGAATTCTTTCTCATTCTAGTATTTTATTTTAATTAAATTTCTTATTTTATTCTTTGTCTCATATTATACACACATATGTATGTATATCATAGGCTTTTTGTAGATTACATGAGAAGAATAATTTGAAATATTTATAGTAAAATAATTATATAGAACAAGCATATGTAAATTTCTTCATATATATTTGTATGTGCATATTGAACTGAAGATGTTATAACGCAATTAAAGAACAAGTTTTTGTATATTAGAAGAAGATATCAACCAAGTTTTATTATTTCTATTACAATTATTACATATAATATGTATATATTGTGTAAGGATAATGAAAGGATGAAAATTTTTTTCATTCTATTTTAGTTACAAAATTGTTACTTTGTTACAAAAGCTTTTACGTCATAAAATGTTTCCGAGATTAAAAAAGAATTCAAAGATAAAAATTTTAATGTTTACATATGTGCTATGCCAACATGTTACATAAAGAGTGAGTTTTTTATAGACTGTCATTCAGTTTAGTTATTACTTAAAAAAAAAAATGCAAATAATAAAAAAATATTTTAAAGGATTTTTTGCTTAAAATAATGAAAAAAAATCACGTGTTATTTGATTAAAATGAATAAAATACTAGAATATTTTACCATTTCTAAAAATATACATAATATGTAGATAAATTTATATGTATGTGCACACACATGTGTAATATATTATAAATGTATCTTATTTTAATGTGTTTGTATTTGTTAACATTGAATTTGTTGGTAGGAAATGGTTACAACGCATTTAAAATTTTCTTACTTTTTTTTTTTCTATTTTGTTTTGTGTTGCTATTTTTTTGTTATAAGTGAAAGTGGAATAGAATAATTTATTTTTAATCTATAGTACAAGTACTTTATTATGCACCTATATCTGAGAATATATGTATATTAATTGTGTGTTGTTGCAAATATTATCATATTATTTTGCGAGACAAGATGTCTAGTGTGTTCTCTAAAATAATTCACCTACATAGCAATTAAAGATTTATTGTAAATTTAATTGGTTAAAATATGAATTTTTTATAGTTATGAGATAAAAAGAAACTTATATTGGATGTTGAAATTTATGTTGTATTTGGAGATAACAAAAGTAAAGACTATATTGAATAAACTTAGCTAACAAACGAACAGCGTTTCTTTTAATATAAGATTCTAAATCTTATTTTATTGCAGTATACGTTAGTTTATAACTTATGTGAACATTCTGAAATAATTAATTGCCCTGTAATTTAATAAATAAAAGTTGTAGCCTCTCAAACTTCTAAAAATGGCATTTTTAGACTACTTATTGTGACGAAACGACAAAAATATTCCAAATTTTGTAAACGCAAAAAAATAGTGGCTGGTTTCTTCTACCGCTATATAACGTAGCGGATAATGGAAATTGTCAAAATGGCCATTAGAACGATAAGTTTTTGAAGTCTGGCATTTTAGCAGCTTTTAAAACTAATAAAAAGTTTATTTCGTTTACTTTGAAAAAAAGTAAAACTTTTTTCCGCCTCCATCCCAAATTATCTTCTCTCAAAATTCATAGAATTTAAGTTTTCGGCTCCTTGTATTTCCGAAGCTGCAAGCTTTTCCGAATTTCTCTAAAAGTAGAGATCTAATAGTAATAGTTATCTATCTTAACTCATGTAATTAACTCTTGAATTTAAATACAACGCCTGTTAACATAACTATTATTTTGTCCATCCTTAATGTATGCAATCATCTGAAACTTTTTGGTATACGCAAAGAAAGAAACAGCGGCATTTTCATTTGTTAAAGAGAAAAGTGTTATTTTGCAAGTCGTTGTTTTGACTTAAATTTGTTTAAATAAGTATTTGAAAATATATTTTATTAAAACTGATTCAGCGTACAGGTACTTTACGTTCCCATAAAATTGAAGTACTTTAAATTATCGTAAGTTTGACAAAAAAATGTATTTTTTTAAGTACGCTACATTGATAGCTAATGCGTAATAAAGTAAAATCGCTCTTTTCTACGATAAATGTCTAAACTGTATGAATTCGACAATTTAAATAAAATTTGTTTTAGAATGGTTGGCAATTATGTTTCTATTTTTATTTGAATTAAATCTGAAAAAAATATGATTTTAATCAAATTAAAAATTCTTACATTTTTTTAAATTTAAAAATAAGAAAGAAAAAAGAGTTAATTAAAGTTACAATAAAGTTCACGATTATTTTTCATGGTTGCATAATTTTGACAGATTTTTAAATTTAAAAAACAAAAAATTTATAAGACAGGGTCGCTTTTGTTGGAGAGAAATTTTTGTTTTTAATTCCACGAACCGTTTACTTTTAAAGGCCAAAATGATTAATTAATTAACAACACCGTAAAGGAATTCAAATGTTTAGTTTAGAATGCAAGTTCACGATAAGATTTTGACAGTTTGAGTGTTGAAAAGAGACGGAATATTTGTTATTTTTGATTATATTGCAATTTTTCCCTCCATCCGACACTGTTAATTTATTTTAATAATTTTCTTGGAATAAAACCGTTCTTTTTTTTTTGTTTTTTACAATATTACAAATGTAAAATCATAATTTACAGAAAAAATGTAGGTAATTTGGTTTTTATTATATTTTTCATATAATTAACCATTTATTTCCTTGCCTCTTTTATCCATAAAAATTTGGGTTGTGTGTTTTTTAAATTTCTGTGTATTTGACCAAATTATGTGTTTTTTTTTAGTTTTACTAAAACTCAATCAACGTGACGAAGCAAAACAATATACAAAAAAATTCTGAAACGAAAAGAAAAGAAATACATACCTACATTCATACATACATATAAAAAAGCCATTTTTCAAAAAATGAGGTTACCGTATTAACTAGAAAAAAAGAATTGTTCGCTACCGGGTCCATTGGTTAAATAAGACTAACGCAATGTTTTACAGTATCCGAGTATTTCTCGAGATTGATTATATTTCTGTAGTTCGAAAATTAATCAAGTTTAATTTGATAATTTTTAAATAAAATAAAATTTGCTAATGCAAAATTTATTCGGAAAGCGAATTCATGTATATACATATAATAGAATCATATGGAGTAAATTGTTTTCCTTAATGCTTTATTTTATGATTTCTTTCATTAGTATTAGAGCTTTCTCTTAAAGGAACAAAAAATATAAACTA